ACAATTTCTAGCTAACTGTCTAATGGTTAAGGCACCAGGCATAAGTTCCAGTCTTGTCATAGGTGTGAAAGACATCTGTATAACTCTGGGCCTGTCATTCTCTCTCAGTCCAATCCACCTCAGAAAAATGGGAGGTGGAACGATTAAGGAACATATTAGATATGATTTTTTTTATAAAAATAAAAAGAGGGATAAAATCCATCAATAAAATAAACTAATGAATAAACATATTTAGAATGGAAAATATATTTGTTCTTTTTATATTATATTACTTGCTCCACAATATGGACTGAACAGTGCACTGTTTCACTCATAACAAGTGTAATCTTTTTAATACTCATATTAATTTTTATTTACCTTATACTGTGCCCAAAATGGGTGCCTTCCACCAGAAAGCAACATATCTTCATCTCGATCAAGCATGCATCGTACTGGGCAGCCAGTCCTATAGAATTAGGCTGAGAGTGAACCTACTGCAAAGGTGTCGCAGTAACAATTTATATCAGAGGATAATACATGAGGCTCTTTTCTAAGTGCTTTGTGTTTGTGAATAAACCTTTCCTATTCTGGCATTCCCTCAGCTATAGAGCACACATAGATCCCCACAAAGCTATTACAAGTCTCACCCATATTTTTTAAAAGCAAGTTAAGTTTAAAAAAAAAACAGAAAGAGAGAGAGTTCTGAAGATGTGTGAAATCATCATATAATTGAAAAGACCAGGAAGGGAAACAAATAAAGCCTTTTTGCCTAGTGTCAAAAAAACATTAAATAAAGCACAAGAGAGCTGGTACTGAAAAGGACTTTCTTTTGACATTTATGAATCTAATTCTAAAAGGCACCGAACAGTATAATATAATATAAATCTACAAATAGGCAATGAAGGTAGGTCTCTCCAGAGTGATGTTGAAGGTGATAGCCATTTCCAAATTATAGTAGAATTTTGCATTTCTACGTGACAAACAGAGGAGAGCAATCACCCTAGAAAAGGACATGTAGTGTTTCTGGATCACAAACAAATTTGTTTTCTTGATTCTCCATATGAAACAGAAACTTTCACTTCACATTAAAACCTGAAGTAACCATACTGAGGGACCGCTCATTAGAACTTACTTAGCAGCAGCTACTGCAACAACTGTAGACAAGATAATGCTTCTGGATTCTTTCCCTCCAAATCCTCCTCCCATTCTCTTCACCCGAACCAGAATTCGATTAGCTGGAACTCCTAAAGCGTTAGCAACAAAATCCTGAAAAAATAATTTAAAATAATTCAACCATGTATTAGCCTACATTAAAATAGTTCTCTTTCTGCACATAAATGCTTGTAAAAAGAGAAAATAAGCTAAATAACTCCATTCCCAGCATAGAAGTAGCCTACACCTATTTGTAAACAGGGAGAATTATTGAATTCATTGAGATTTATTATCAGTGGATGAATGAATTATCTAAGCATGCATAGATTTACGTTTCCTGAGGTCAGATTTTCAGTTTCTTGATGGGAGAGTGTGAATTCCTGAATGCACATGTGAGAAGATAGTTTCTGTATGAGAAAGTACTTTATATGTATAGATGCAGATATATGCAAATACATATACAAGTTGGTCACATTAAAATTATAAAGTATCCAGGATTGGTTTCAGTGGTAGCAGTCAATCTTTGTTGATAAAATAGAACTGTGAAGGACTATTCAAGACTTTTGTTTGTGTTTAGAATCTTTCTTCTGTCTAATCTTTTTTTGGAATGTGTTAAACCAGGATCATTTTCCTTTCAGGTAAAGACAAAATTGACTTCATGCTACAGTAATTTACTAATTGGCCATATAATTCCACAAGTAAGTTTAGCACTTATGCAAGTAAATGAGGCATATCAGGGAATATCAGAAACTCGAATTGAATTTCTTGGTTCTCACATGCCAAAGATGACCTGCATGTCCTTAGCAACGTGCTTTGCCTTGTGTACAGCTGAGCTGTACAGCTCAGCTGTACACAAAATCACATTGGTTTTTTGAAGTGCAACATCATTGTTACTCTATTCCACTGGTGGAAGGGTGACTTCTCTTAAAGTTTCAATAAAGCAAAGCACGTCTTCAACATCATGCACAGCATTTTTATATAAACTATTTGAATAGAAATAATAGATTATTAAAACTGAAGAATAAAACAATACTAACTAAGCAGGGGAAGAAGAGCTTATCAGGAATCAGATTAGCACAGACAGGAATGTAGAATGTAACCATTGACTTCCTTATTGCATTTTAGAGGAAAATCCCTCCTCAACTCTTAATTAAAATCCCTAGTCAAACAACAACAACAACAACAACAACAACAACAACAACAATAATAATAATAATAATAATAATAATAATAATAATTGTTATTCTTGGTAGCAAAACTAACTGCATTCTCTAAAAGCTATCAAGATCAAAGCTTATCAAGAGACTGGCTGACCTGTGTCTTTGTTAAGTTTTGGGTGGATACAAAGAGTTCCATTTCTCCATCTTCTCCTTTTGGTACAGCAATTGTGCAGTGAGTCTCCAGATAAAAATGTTCCTGGCCACTGATGTACATGTCCCCTAGGGAAGATGGAAAGAAAGGATTTCCAAATCAAATAATACATTAAATTCAAAACAAGTTTTTCAGGGGTGATGTGAGAATTTATTCAATAATGACTCTGATTCAAGCTCACGGAGTTCAGAGTCCTACTGCTGATCTTCACTGCTTGAGTTCTTAGAGTCCAATCACTTGTGGGGAAAACCGGTGCCTCTCAGTGCACTTTGCCAAATGGCAGCTTGCATCTCATTTGCTCCTCTTAACAAAGAAAAAGAAGATTTTTCTCCCTTGTCGTACTCCTTTTCCCCCATTAGTAACTTTGGGTGCAGACTCCAGGAAATATAGTTTATTCAAGATTTTACTCTGCCAAGATTCCACCACCCCCAATCATGCTGTTAGTTGCTGCTAGTTACAAAAAAGGATTGTCATGTGTTCTTAACATCAAAGTATCTTAGTATCAAAGAAACTTTCCATTTTTACTCTGATATGGACAGACAGTATAGGGAAGCTGGAAAAAACCAATGACAAAACAAAAGGAGCTTTAAAAGATTGTCCGTTTCTAATGTATTGTCCAAAGCAGAACCCCAAGGTCAATGCAAATATGTTATTCATGCAGTCAATGCTTTAAAATAAACCTTTGTTATACAAACCAAAAAGAACCAAAAAGAAATGAGCAAGCTTACCTTCCACAATATGATCGGCCTCTTCAAAACCTTTCTGGATATTTCCTTTTTCAATCTTCCTGTCAGTCTTAAAAAAAGACTCTTTCTCAATGGCTTCCTGTGCAAATTATAGGAGAACACAAACACATTTACATGAACATGCATGTACACACATACACACACACACACACATATATATATACACATACAGCAGCCAGCTCTGTTTTGTGTAGCATAGCCAAGTTGGACCAATGTTATGTACTGTTAGGTAATCTGCATCACATTTTGAATGAAAGGTAGTTAAAGACAGGGCTTCTGCACCTTATGTAGAAAAAAAACATTGGCAGATAGTACCTGCCATTATCTATTTCATTAGAATTTTCTATTCTCTACTATGCTCTAGCTTCAACAACTTTCTTTCCATTTGTCCTGGGCTGAAAAATCTGCAACCTAAAGGCCTCAGGCAGCCATTAACGTAAGCTGACATGGCCCTCAGAACAATGTCAGAAGCTGTCTGTCCAGCGAGATGGATAGCAGCGAGGGAGGGATCCAAAGTAGAAAAGGAGGATATCAAATAGAGAGAGATCAGATACCACTACCTACGAATTTCTTCACCTCCTTTATACAGCCAATGATGATTACCCCTAAGTCAGGGGTAGGGAACCTTGGCTCTTTTATGACTTGTAGACTTCAATACCCAGAATTCCTGAACCAGCCATGCTGACTCAGGAATTCTGGGAGTTGAAGTTCACGAGTCATAAAAGAGCCAAGGTTCCCCATCCCTGCCCTAAGTGAATACAGCCCTAAATGGAAAAATATTTGCTCAGCCCTAATTACAAACTTCAAACATTTACTCTATATAAGTAAAAGCAAATGTGTGCATGACCATTTCTTGGTTGGGACTAATTTGCAAAAGAAAGGGGTTTTACATGCACCAAGTCTGTTGCCCATTACCCTGATTCATACAAACAATGATCACAACAAATCGGTGTAGAAACAAGTACAGATTATTTTCACATATCCATCTCAGAACTGTAGTAACAGAAACCAGAGAAGTTACTTTCAAATCTTTCTAAAAAAATAAACCAAGAACTAAGCTTACTCAGTCAGGACCCTGAAATCAAGGTATATGTCACTTTGTGTCAGTGTCTCACCTGGATAGTGATAATTGGTGTAAGCTCTTCATATGTGATCTTCACTGCTTTAGCAGCTCTTCGGGAATGTTCCTGTGTATCTGCCAATACTGCACCAATAATGTGCCCAACACATGTCACCTGCAAGGGGAAAAAAACCCTTCAGTTTATTCAGCAACTTTGCAAATTTTAACTGATTTACCATCAGTAATATTTTAATTTGGATATATTTATTTTTGAAACCCAATTTTATATAAAGAGGACAAACATTCTGAATTTAGACATACTGTTGGACAACAGCTAGTCTGGGCACAAACAGATTTTCAAAATTGTCAATTAACTTTGTGAGCAGAGTAATTAAACAGGCAATTTCTCCAACTTTCCCTGTAGTAAGAGAACTCTTCCTATATTTTTTCAGGGACAAGCCTTCCCTTTAGAAGTGATGGTGTCTCTCGTACTTAAAGTTCCCATACAATATTTTTCCTTGGTATTTCACTGAACTGTGGATAGTCAAGGACATCAGAGTACTGGGAAAGGAAGAATTGTACAGTGAAAGACAGGATATTCCCACACATATCTTGCTACCTTGTAACTAAATCAGAGCAAGAATATCATACTCTTCTGTTTTGAAAGAGTTTTAAAAGCAAATTCTCTCTCATGAAACTGAATGAGAAATGATAGAGCACAGACAAATGTATGTGATTATATTTGATCCCAGTGAGTTCAGTGAGAACTATGTTCAATTGGTGTTGGTATAAGGTATTCCTCCCCAAACACATTAAGCTGCATTCATTATCAAATGTATGGACTGCCCCCTCATATATACCAAAAGGGCATTTTAAGGAGTTCATATGTATGAAGTGGCATCTCATAATTTGATATGTCACTCCATAAAACATATACATTTTACTATTGTATCGGAACACATACAGATACAATTTTCATAGGGGATGGTGGTACATCTGCCAGTTGTTACCCTAACACATAACTCACCAATTCAAACCAAAGTGAATAGTATGAAATGCACTTTATAAAACACATCTGGGAATGAACCAAAGGGGTGTGGTTATTGAGCTATAATGCAAGTGAGCTGATTGCCCCACTTTAGTACTTTTTGAGATTAATAGAACAATTCGTAGATGAAAAACAATAATTACGTACAATGTCTTTTGCAAAGATGGTTTCATCATTACAAATTCCAGAAATGTTACTTCCTGGAATATCCTGATCAGAGACAAAACATACAAAGCCAGGTACATTCTGAGCCTCTGTGGTATCAATGGAACTGAAAGAAAAGATTAACACAGTAGAGTTATTCCCATTAGATTTAAGTGTATGTCTGCAAATACAAGTTTTGGCTGCATTTATTTCCAAAACCTGAAGTAATAGTTCTATTTTATTCTGCACTGAACAACCCTCCTTTTGAGCATTGTGTCTGCTTCTGGGTAATATCCTTTGTTGAAAGAAGAGATTCAAAGAAAGGCAACCAAGAGATTTTTCTAGATTGGGGATCTAAAAATTAAATCCTATACATACACGTGGTTCTCAAAGACTCTCCAAGAAAAGGTGGCCAACATTCTAAAGCTAGTTTGCACCTTCCAAGCATGCTGTCAGCTGTAAGAATTACACGAGTTCCAGACGCACAAGCAAGTTACATATTATACTGGATGGCTGAAAGGAGGTGGACTATAGCCTCTCCTCGGGGCCTTTATAATGTAAAAGCCACAAAAGCCCACATCCACATCATAATAATTGTGGCCTGTACCATTTAATAAATAATGGTGTCTGTCATGGAAGCAGAACTTACATAATTTTAGCATGGGCTTTGGTGCTGGTAACCAGGGTTAGGTAGAGTTCATTTGCATAAGAAGGAATGTCATCACAGTAGACTGCCTCTCCGCTTGCCTGCTTGGCAGCTGACAAATGCATCAGGGGTCGTCCCACTGTATCGTCAATGGATTGCTCAATAGGCACTTCCTATGAGAAAAGCAAAGGGAGTACTTTCACTGCTGATTAAATACTGGCATCAATACCTTACAAACATTGCCTCATTCAAAAAGTTAAAATTCTACTAGCAGCAATAAAGCAAGTAGGGGAACAGCATTTAGCACATCAAACACAGGACTATTCCTTCTACCTGAAAGGAAGAGGTTCTGTTAGGACAGACATCTCCTGTAATTAATTAATTTTTAAAAAAAAAAACAAAGAGCAAAAATCAGAATAAGGGTTAGTTCAAGGTAAGGTCTAATGCTCAAGCAAGAACATTTCCGAGAACTGAGATGAGAGGCAATAAAACAAATGGAAAACACAAACTGGTTTTTTGCTCTTACTCACTTGAAAAAGCTGGACGTTGCTAACAGGATCCTTATTAAATAATTCAGTAGCACTAGCATATGTGGAAAGATCCAATTTGCTCAAATCATTCTGCAAAAATATAGAATCTGATTTTAATTTCATTTCTGTTATGCAAAGGCAAATGTATATCTCTTAATGTGCATAAAAACATTACAATCAAAACATAAAAAGTTACCCAAAGCCATATAGAGCTCAGCTTGCATATGGACAGCCATATGAAACTGCTGAACCGTTATCCCATCAAGAAGACAGAAGAACTCACATTGCCATTTAATTCTTCACTTCGTTTCTTAAGCACTGTGAGGTAGAACTTAAAGAAAAAGCTGAGCACGAGAGTTCGACGGAAATCCACCATGCCACCAGGGACTGAAGAGGAAAGTTTCATCTCCTCAGCCAGCAAACGGCAAGCTTCCTGCAGGAGTTCTTCTTTCCACTCTCTATTAAAAATGAACCATAAATTAACACAAAATCATTTCATTTGTCCCCGTCTATTCAGTAAAAAAAATAAGCAGGGATTCCCATTCTGATGCCTTATAGTTATATTGGGAGGTCATCTTCCAGAATTATCCTTTTCTGGCCCCATAGCAAGCGTGTCCATAGAATATGGTTGGGGAAAAAATCAGGATGATGACCATGATGATGTGATGAAAACTCTGCTTATTTTCTTTGGGGAGCAGACCAGAAATCATCAGAGATGTATTTGCAGCATCCCAATAAGAAAGTCTCCTTTAAGCTGCACTCATAATCAAGAGGGGTTGCTCTAAAATCAGTAGTCCATAAGTCTGTCCCATTTTGCAGCCTTCCAAGTATCTCCTTATTATAATGCCAATTTTCAAATAGTAATGCATTTATATTAAACTATGATGATGAAGCCAAACATTCCTAATCTTTCCCAAAGTAATAAAAAACTGAATGGAAATATTTGACCCCACAATTCAGCAAATAATCATATGTTCCCCCCTTCGCACATTCCTTAAAAACTGAAATAATAACAACATCATAAAGTTTGATCTCCCAGCTGAGAGTATTACAAAATTCTGCTCCCAGCATGTGTTATGTTGCATATGAGTCTCACTCATTTACCTCCCAATCAGCTCCTGACAGGTTTTTACAGCCATGACTGTTGTGAGAGCCATTCCGCCATAGCTCAGCTTAATCTCTTCTAATCGATTGGTTTCCTCTTGAAACCGAACTCTCATTCCACAGGTCACAATGGCAATGTCATCCTCACGTCTTGAAGCTTGCTTGAAGGCAGAGAAATATTCACCCTAAGAGAAGAAAAAGAAGTAAACTTTCCATGGACTTTTTCTCACTGATCTCGGGGGGGGGGGAAATCTGGAGTAAAGTCGGTCCACTGACCACAATGGTACTAAAATACGAGCAGTCCCTTTTATGCAATAATTTCTAGATGAAGGAAGAATGAGCACTGGGGAAACACAACAGATTTCCAGACAGACTATGACAGAATTCCTGATGCTATGTTCTGAATAAAACTTAACATTGCGAAGTTCACTTTCATCTCTGAATACAGTTTATAAATAAGTGTTAATTATTATTCTGGAACTGACATCTATGAGCTGCAAAGTGTTTCTGCACCATGTCTATGTCCAGGATCTTGGTTTGTTGGTGTGTTTGTTTGCTTTTTTATATAGGGGCAGCAGGCATTGTTTTGGAGGGTGTTTTCTTGTTTTGAATCTCTAAGAAGCTCAGTTAATGTGCTAATGAAGTCACAAATTATTTCTCTGTTTCCTGCCATTCAAAATGCTTGAGTCCCCTTTGCAAACACTAATTGTGATTCATTAATCTTTCTAGAAAGTGTCAAGGCTGAGCATTCAAAACAAACCTATCAGGTTACTTTAGGAATACAGAAATAGCATGCCAAGCCAGTTCATTGGTCCACTTATCACCATTTTCTTCATACTGACAATGGGTGGTCTCCCTTAATGTGCCCTGATCCTAAGTTAAATGTCCATAAGAACATTACAATTTCTCCACCAGATTTGATCCTGAACATCTGAACATCAGTTCATTTCTATTTTAAAATTTTGCCCAGCTAAATAAAAGCTACAACTCTCATGAATGCCAACTTCTGAAACAGGAATGGACAGAAACAGCCTCTCGGTTTACAATATGTATGGTTTTTAGGTAATTCTTACAAGTTAGAGAAAGTGATACAGAGTGCTTAGGTGCTCATACACATATGCCCTGCTCAGCACTACTTGCAAGGATGTAGAAAAATCTGCAGATTTTTCACAGGATAGCTTCAAAAGAGATAATTCAAAAAGATCCTGAAATTAGAACTTGGATGTCTTCATGCACAGCAGAGGGTGCTCTGGCTGCATGGTGCGCCACTGGTATCATGCCCCATGCAGCTGGGCAAGAGGAAGATGGCAAGAGCTACACAAATTTCAGCAAGCTGTCATTACCCCTGTAATGTCAGGGGTAAGTGAAGAATCTTGAAATTTCTCAGCTGTAATTCGGTAGGTTAGTTATATAATTAATTAAGACAAAATCTTTTTTTAACAATTTTACCCTAGTTTTGTGGCTTATAATTATAGTATTTTTCTCATTATTGTTTAATGCATTCTGTAGATATGGTTCTATTGTTGTTGTTGTTGTTTTTTGTAATTGTTGTTAATGTTGCTCTAAGTTTGTATGGGGATATTTAAGAAAATTAAGTTAATGTTAGGAAAATTTTGAAGAAAAAAAACAACCCTTGACTGATATAAAAACAGGACAGAAAGTGTGCAGAATTGACCCAGATCGGAACGGGATTAACCTCCCCCTTCCATTCTTCAATTAAAGTATACCAGTCAAATAAATGCTTTCCCTATAACTCAAAAGAGGCAAATATAATTGATGTCACAATTCAGATGGATTTTTTTTCATGGATCTCCCACACTGCAAATCATGAGATTCTTGGGACTCCAGAGTCAGGAAAATCTCTTCTTTCTTTCTTTCTAGTATAAGTTTAACCAATATAATAAGAACATAGTTGCCCCAAAGTGCAATTGTATCAGGACTGAAAATATGCTGTTACTATAACCACCATATCAAAAAATAAGCTCAGAGAAGAAAGGAAAGAAGAAAAATAAACACAGCTCTGAAAAATAATAACTATGCTCTCAGTCCATTAAGTGATTAACCATTAATCATCATACTTGAGTCCATGAGTATCTAGAATCCATGGATATAGATGAGTCAATCCCTTCACACTACCCAGAAATAATTGAAACCAATCTACATCAGGTATTCTGGGAATTTGGCAGTAAATATGTCGTGTTCTTTCACCATGAACATATAAGTTGGATAATAAGCCTACTGACCCCAGGCATTTCAACAGAAGTACAATGAACAGACACATGTTCAATGGAACTAGATGAACTGCTGGGCTGATCCAGCAAGGCTCTTCTTGGGCTCTTATAAATGGTAATGGGATAATGAACTTGTTTGATTCTTACTTTGCCTCATTGCTGATTTCGACTTCTACTTATTTCAGGATACATCCATCTGTAATTGCATTAAAACATGGACCAGACTGATCATGGAATGTATGACACTTCAAAAATCTGCTTCCTTCTATTTTCTAGGGTGTTTTTCAAGAGTGATTTTTTTTTTCTTTAGGAATTTAAAATAAAATCCAAGAAAATATTTTAAAATATATAGGTTGAGTGATCACTTCCAATATTCTTTACAAAGAATCTAGGAATGCTAAAATTCTTCAAGGTTAAACCAAGAGAGATAGCCAACTCATTTTGTTTCAAGTACAATCTCTTAGTCCAGAGGTCCCCAACCCTTGGGCTGCAGACTGTACCAGTCCGCAGCCTGTTAGGAACTGGCCCATACAAGCAATGGGCAAGTATGTGAAGCTTCATCTGCACATGCGCAGGATCAAAGTTGCACACAAAACTATCCATCTCCTCCCCCCAGTCTGTGGAAGGCAATCTTTCTTCCGAAACTGGTTCCTGGAGCCCTAGATTGCATGAATATAGTATTTTTGCTTGTTTCAGGTATAAAGAAAGACCAGCCTAATTTAATGTATACTAGAATTTGAACCATCATTCTTCTCATGGAAAGCCACAAAGCCATGCAGAAGGAATTCATGGCAAACTTTTTCTATGAGGAGTTCTTGATGCTGTCTCAGTTTGGTTGTTTTCTTGCAGACATTTCATTACCCAAACTAGGAATTTATTTATTTATTTTGCTTGTTTCCTGCCCGTATTATTTTTTACAAAATTCAAGGCAGCAAACATACTTTCCTCCTCCTACTGTCCCTACAACAACCCTGAGATGTGAGTTGGGCTGTGAGAGACTGACTGGCCCAAGCTCACCCAGCTGGCTTTCACGGCTAAAGTGGGACTAGAATTCACAATCTCCTGGTTTCTAGCCTGGTAACTTAATCACTAGACCGAACTGGTTTGGCAGTTCCTTAATTAATATGTTGTTCACTTCTTGATTGTTAGTCTGATGTTAATTTTGGTGTTAATCTATGTTCATCTGGGTGTTGATTGCTGGTGGAGAGGTGTTTTGTTTTCGTTTTCCTTTTTTGGTTTGCTGATTGTCTCTTTTGTATAGTATGTATATGTTGTTTGATGGCAAACTAGAAACATAAGTTACCCAAAAAAAACCACTGATACTAATCAAGCCAAGCAACCTAATAGTAAAAAGCCCAACCAAAGAACCACCAAGTCCACTCCTACCAACACTGACAGGCCAATCAACTAGAACAGACATGTCAAACTCACGACGTCACGTATCGGGACGGTTTTGCCATTGCCGGCAATGGGGTGGGCGGGGCTTCCGTATGATGCATCCGGCCCATGGGCCGGCAGTTTGACATCCCTGAACTAGAATATAAATTTAGAGCAAATCCCACTCCCTGCTAGTATTGATGATGTTACCGAGTTTGCATAATGAAACGTCTGCAAGAAAACAACCAAGCTCAGAGAGCACCAAAGAACCCTCATTTCAACCCTGAGCTACAAATATTCTCTTTTATTGAAACTTTTTGTATCTTCCATGACTAAACTAAATTTTCTACATTTTATTTAAGAAGAACTCTATGCTAGAATTAATTTCTTGGTTGCTTGAGCAGTACACACTCAAATCCATGATGAAGGATGGCTATGTTTGTCATGTGATTTCTTTTTTTTTTTAGCTCTCCCAGCCATAGCAAAACATGCTAAGAAATTGTCGCTTCCTTCCCCACTCCCTGTCTTTTTAACTTTTTTCTTCTTCAGTATACAGTACTAATTCCTAAATTCATCATCTATGCAGGAAACATATTTAAAGATTTTCTATCTTTATTTATCACCTTACTCCTAGTTAAAATTTTATACAAAATGGAATATGTATAAGTCAATGTTGGATGGATGTTTTGGCTAAAATTTTCTGTGAAAAGAGTATCAATTACCTGATAACTAGTTTGTGCAACACCAGGACAATTAATTTAGCCCTGAATAACTGATTATTTTTGCAAGGGAAAAAAATCTAACCCCTTTTGTATAAATTAAGCAGATCGTTTTTCTGGCTTAAGGAGTCTGCATGCACAAATACCTTTACATGATTCAATAAGTGATTTGTATGAACAGAACAAGGTCAAAGTTTTGCCCCATAAAAAGGACAATTAAGCCCAGTAAATTTCTCTGATTTTGAATAATTTTGTCTAGTTTCTTTTTGTTATGATTTTGCCTCTGCTTGTATTTCAGTTATTAAGTGGGAGTAACAAACTATATTGGAATAATGTAGTCTGTTTTACTAGGCATGAGAAAGAGCAAGAGATTTTGTATGGCATTAAAGGTCATCCCCAAGATGGAAATCTTTTTAAACACAATGCTCTAGTTTGCAAGATTTCAGGAGCCATAGTTTAGATCAGTGGTTCTCAACCTATGGGTCGTGACCCCATTTGGGGTCGATCAACCATTTCACAGGGGTCGCCAAGCAAGGCTGTCCGCCATTTTTTTTCCCCTTTTCCGGCGGGTGCCTTACCTCCCTTCAGCTGGGCCAGCTGGTGGTCGGCCTGCTCCATCTCTTCCACTTGCCAGCTACGCCTCGGCCGGCGCAGGGGGCAGAACCACTCATGCGCGGCGCTCCCGGGCAGGGAAAATCCTCGACTTACGACCGGTTGGGTAGTCCTCGACTTACGACCGGTTTAGTCCTCGACTTACGACCGGTTGGGGGTCACAGCATTAAAAAGGTTGAGAACCACTGGTTTAGATACTTTTACTGGCATACTGACAGCCATAGGGACTAGATATTTTTCAGCAGGAGAAAGGGGGGAGAAGGGGGGAGAAAAGGAGAGGGAGGAAGGGAAGGAGAGGGGGAGATAAATGCTATATCCAAATTACTTTCTATGTTTCAGAAGAATCATAGTGCACTTAATATGGCTTGAGCATTGCATCTGCATTATTGATTAATATGGCCATGTGAACCTGCAGAACAACAGAGTTGGAAGGGACCTTGGAGGTCTTTTACTGCACTCCCTTGCTCAAGCAGGAGACTTGATACCATTCCAGACAAATGGTGGTCTAAACTCTTCTTTAAAATCCCCACTGATGGTAATGGTAAGCCATTCCACCGATATTTTCACAGTCAAGAAATTTCTCCTCAGTTTTAAGTTGGATCTCTCTTTGATAAGTTTCTATCTGTTACTTCTTGTCCTGCCTTCAGGTACTTTGGTGAATTGATTGACCCCCGCTTCTTTGTGGCAGGCCCTTAAATATTGAAGACTACTATCGTGTCATCCCCTAGCTCTTTTCTTCATTAGACTAGACCAGGGGTAGGCAATCTTGGCTCTTTTATGACTCGTGGACTTCAACTCCCAGAATTCCTGAACCAGTTATGCTGGCTCAGGAATTCTGGGAGTTGAAGTCCACGAATCATAAAAGAGCCAAGGTTGCCTACCCCTGGACTAGACATTCCCAGTCCTTGCAATCATTCTTCATGTATTTTAGCCTCCAGGCCCTTAATCATCTTCGTTGCTCTTCTCTGAACTTTTTCTATGGTCTCAACATTTTTTTTTCTATTGTGGTGATCAAAACTGGATGCAGTATTCCAAGTTGATCTCACCAGAGCAGTATAAATCAGCACTGACACCTCACATGATCTTTCTTTCTGCTTTTTTTGGCAGCTGCAGCACACTGCTGGCTAATATTTAAGTGGCTGTCCACTTCTAGATCCCTTTCATAGTTACTGCTATTGAGCAAGGTACCACCTATTCTACACCTATGCATTTGGTTTTTCTTGCCTTACTTTTCTCACCACTGAATTGCATTTTGCTGGATAGGGCCCAGTGTTCAAGTCTGTCAGGATCCTTCTGGATCTTGAGCCTATTTTCTAAAGAGTTACATATGCCTTGTAAAACTATACAGCCTTTTTTTCTAGGACAGTAAATATTCAGATCACCTCACCTTCCTACTGAATGGAATCTCAACTGAAAGCAGCAGTTCTTGAGGCTTCAGTATAGTTTTTCTATACCCAGTAAAGAATTTTTCATCCATCCTTATTGTCCTGCTGCCCTCTGCAAGAAAACAAGATACAGCATACAGAGGATGAGTTGGGTAAGCAGGTGGGTTCTCAATTCATCTTAGCAACTGTTTATTGTTGGGAGGTTAGCTGGTCTTTTAATTCCACAAGCAAAGATTGTGACCTACACTGATTAAACAATATATCCTAGCTATCTTTTCCAGCCTGGTGCTCCCTAGACATCTAGAGCTTGATATATGTATTTTGTGTCACCTCCTACATGTCCCATTGGAATCACAGGCAGCATGGTATCAACAGGTCCCTAAAGTCCATATCATCAAGTAACAGACAGGCTGGAGTCAACCATCAAGTGTTGCCCAAAACTATTTCAGTGGTGTTTAGACTACCCTTTTGGGAACTCTGAATTTCTTAGCTGCAACTGATGAAAAATGGTTTATCAGTGTTTGCTGGTCATTCTTTGTTCAAAGGGATATGTTTCATAGCCTACCTTGAGCACAAAAGTGTGTTAATCCACTTCTATCTCCAATAGAAATTACAGGGCATCTAAAACATTTCCAAGAATTCTCTTTAATGCTCAACATTCTAACAGCAAAGATTTGAAAACCACAGATATCACAAAGGTGTGATATACTATCACACAGCTACCAAATACTACAGCTTAACAATGATCAGTTATGAAATATTAAAACCAAACCAAAGATCATCCAGGCTGAACCTATCTAAGCATGTGGAGTTATGGGCAACATTCTGACCTACCCTTTAGAAAGCAAAAGAAGGAATAACCAAAGAAAGTTCTCTTCACATTCTTAACTGAGGCTCTTGGAAATAACAGACCATACTACTTTCCCTGACTAGACCCAGAAAGAAAAATGAGGCATGGAAACTGTTCCATTTACACCCACAATAGAATTTATATTGGCAACAAGGGAAATTGAGAAACTGCTTACCACTTGACACCAAAGTCAGTTTGCTCCCAGTTGCCATCAACACTGGATTTAGGTCAGATATTGGACTTGCAGTCATTATATTTCCACCAATAGCCTGAAAGAAAATATAGCACAGCCATATCTTAGAAATTAGGTCAACAGACGTCATTAAAATCAGTCATCAAAGTAAGTAAGCAGAAAAATCCTGAATATTTTAATTTTACACCATTAAAATTAAAATGGGATTTTCTTATCCTCAAATAGAACAAGAATAGGTCAAGGAAGCAATACATCTCAAGTTAATTTATCATTTACTGTTCATGCTTTCACGATGTGCTAAATGTTTTTTTCATGAAATTAAGAACTGGTAGATTTAAACAACGATTTACATTTAGATTCATTATTCTAAAATGTACTTTGGTGTGTAAATATAAAGACATTTAGATTAATTATTTAATTTCACTGTTTCTGTAAAACATCTGGGCATTTAACATACCCCAACAAAGAAAATATATAGTCAAATCTGATTTGTCAGTTCGAAAAATATTACCCTTTTTCACTCTAAAGTATATCTCTTTTGCCTGAAGTTTGGTATAAATTAAAAGATATGCTTCTCCTAAGCTGACATTTCCTCTGAAGATTTGTTCAAACTAAGCCATGCATAAGAAGATTCACTGATCAATTTGAATTTATCAAATAATAAAAAATCTTATTGCCTTGTAGGCTTGTTCTCTTTATGGACAATATAGGAATTATTCTATTAAGAACAAAAATATCCATTTTCTAGTCTACATTTAGCCACGGAAGTTCACTGGATGGCTTGGATCCAGGTGTTAACTCTCAGATTTCTTCTGGGCATAAAATTGGAGGAGAAAGTTGAAATACTTTTGCAACTAAGGATGCTTACAGGATGATTTTCTGCCCAACTCCCTGAGATCTTGCCTTGTTGCCCACCATGAACCTTGTGGGGAAAATCACAAGGAACATCAGCATGTCTAGTAACTTGTGTATTTAGATATTCTTGCTGTGAAAACTATATAGGCCAGTATTTCTCAATCTTTATTTATTTTATTTTATTTATTTATATTTGGATTTATATCCTGCCCTTCTCCTCGCGGACTCAGGGCGGCTGACAATCAGTTAAAATACATAAATAACAATACAAATTTAAAATTAGTTAAAAGAAATATTTAAACTTTGTCCAATTAAAATGTAATTAAAACCCCTCTAAAAATTACCCTAGGCCAGTCCTGCAAGCTGGAATAACCAAGTCTTAAGGGCGCGGCGGAAGGAAGGGAGATNTGGCCGACGGCACCCTGAGGAGACCCACTCTGTGGGAGCGTACAGGTCGATGGGAGGTAATCTGCGGCAGGAGGCGGTCTCGAAGGTATCCGGGTCCGATGCCATGGAGCGCTTTAAAGATGATAGTCAACACCTTGAAGCGCACCCGGAAGGCCACAGGCAGCCAATGCAGCTCGCGCAGCAGTGGTGTCACGTGGGAATGTCGAGTCCCCCCCAACACCGCCCGCGCGGCCGCATTTTGGACCAGCTGGAGCCTCCGGGTGCTCCTCAGGGGGAGCCCCATGTAGAGAGCATTACAGTAGTCCAGGCGGGAGGTGACAAGGGCGTGAGTGACCGTGCGTAGGGCGTCCCGGTCCAGAAAAGGCCGCAACTGGTGAATCAGGCGAACCTGATAAAACGTCCCCCTGGTCACGGCCGACAACTGGTCTTCCAGCATCAGCTGCGAATCCAGGAGGACACCCAAGTTGCGTACCCTCTCCGAGGGGGCCAAAGTTTCGCCCCCTATAGTCAGCGATGGAATCAGCTGACTATGCCGAGGCGCCGGTAACCATAGCCACTCGGTCTTGGACGGGTTGAGCCTGAGTCTGTTCCTCCCCATCCAGACCCTCACGGCCTCCAGACTACCGGGTCATCATGTCAAGGGCATCGTTGGGGTGGCCCGGAGTGGATATGTACAGCTGAGTGTCATCAGCGTACTGATGGAAATCCACCCCAAAGCCATGAATGATCTCCCCCAGCGGCTTCACATAAATATTGAACAGAAGCGGAGAGAGGACCGACCCCTGTGGAACCCCACAGGTAGGGGCCTTGGGGTCGACCTCTGTCCCCCTGCCAATACAGACTGCGTACGGTCGGTGAGGAAGGAGGAGAACCACCGCATCACAGTGCCTCCCACTCCCAACCCACCCAACTGCCGCAGCATGATACTGTGGTCCACAGTATCAAAAGCCGCTGAGAGGTCCAAAAGAACAAGGACAGAGGAATAACCCCTGTCCCGGGCCCTCCAGAGATCATTTACCAACGTGACC